CCAGGTTTGCCTACCCTGGCGGGGCTTTCTCCAGTATAGACTACTGGCGGTCTTGCTGCTTATTGTTAGTTTTAAACCGTAACACTGGTATATTCTCTGCGAATGTGGACCTTGAGCTCTGTGAAAAAATGAACAATGCACATTGAGTATCCGGGGAATGTGTCTTTGGGTACAGCTGGCGTCAGACGCGTGACACACGCAGACTTACACAAAATATGTCGCATCGTAAATGATGGCCCCGTGGTTGGGGAGGGCATCTGGATCCGTTTGATCTTCACGATTGATCTTGATAGATGGTGCATTGTAAATTGTAAGAAATTATGCAGTCTCAATGTAAATGCATTTGTAAATGACGTGCATTCTCCATCTCAATTATTTACCAAAGTGTTCAGTTCTTCAGGTTTGGGACTGGCGTTATTCAAGACACCGCCTTCATTATAGTGCCTGCGCTATCGCTATGGAATGTCGTCCCATTGCTCTATTATGACTTGTACAATCGCCTTGTTCGATTCTATTGCAGGTTTGGACTTCTTCGTAGTTTCTCATAATTTCACTGGAATCTAAGTTCTACTTTTCTCCTCATGAAAAGCACTGTTCCCTTAACTGCTCACTGTTTTGCCGGTAGCGTTTATGAGCCGAAGTTTGTGCGAATTCGATCCGATTATTCACTGTTTGGTACTTGACCTACTATTGAACTCTGATGAGCACCCCTGCTTCGGATTTTGAACTCAATCCTATGCATGAGTTCCAAAAGAAGTGGGGAACAGAAAAAAACTCTCTTCTCAAAAGTTGGCGAGCTTCTACGAAGTGGGAAGCTTTCACGGGGTCCGGGCTATCCGAAGCAGTGAAAAAAATGTGAAACCTTTGAGAAAAAATGGGAGCTCAGCTACCATTTATTTTTTTTAGCGAGTACAACTCTATAAGCACCTTCGTCGGGTGAAGAGTGCATGTGAAATTAAGGACGTTAAGAAAAAACTGTAAAAATCCGAAGTTGTCACAGATTACTAAAGAATAGGCAGAGCCGCTTCTATGTCAGCGGATCAGAGTATGTGCGAAGTTGCAGAAATATAAAAAAGCCACAAAACCAGAAGTTATAAAATAAATTTTGAGAAAAGCATGATTGTGGTGAAGAGTGGTCGTAGCTATCTGGACGGCGCTTGGGGTAGTGTCTAGCGCGATGTGCACAATTAGCTGCCCAGTGTAAACCAGTATGTATGGATTACTTTAAAATAGGCAGATTTGTTGGGAATGAGATCAGTATGAAACGGGCAGGTATATGGTTTCTTGTCCTTGCTTCCCGAAACCCGTTTTCGCATCTCATTGGTATCCTTGGATTGTAAACGCAACTATTAACCGCCTGCGATCGAGAAAAGTCTCCAATTATTCCTACCAATAATGTGCACGAAATCAAAAAAAAATCTATATAGTACATGGCTATGTCCTGGAGGCTTCAATCTTCTATAGCAATCGCGATCAATGAACTAAGCAAAATTATACGAAGATATGGATCACTTCGTTGAAACACAAACAAACAAACAAGATCCACTTCTGAGTTTCTATGAGAATGGCGTCTCTGACAGTACTTTATACGATATTCAAAGTCGCCCAAGTGAGTAACTAATAAATGGCCAGTGGAACACGGCGGAGGTTGCCATAACATATAAAGGGCGTAGCTCCAAGAAACATGGCGAAGGGTTGGTGTTGGTGGGGGGTGGGGGGGTGTGAGAGGCCCGAACATTGGAGGAGTTGTTACCCGCCGATCGTTAATTAGAGTGTGAGGGTTTCAATGCGAGCCGGCCATCGGCAGTCTGGGCGCGCCTCACGGCTTAATAAGTTTGGCGTAACTGAGACCAGTCTTACGGTGTTGGCTAATTTGTGTTTTTTGAATTGAAATTCGAATTTTCACGCGTAATTCTGGTGTACTGGTTAGTATCACCTGTTGTTTCTGTAGAGTGGTAATCTTGGTAGTCTTATTGTGTCCCGGGCTGCGGCTGAGGGGAGAGAGAGGTATGTGACTTTATTACGCTGACTTTTGGGTGATGTTGAGATCATGTACCTTGGTGACGAGAGAGGCGGGGGTGTAAGCAGTTTTTTTGGAAAGAAAAGGGGAAAAAAGAGTTGGAGGAGGTGCCCGAAAACAAGCAAGAACGATGGGGCTAGATTTTAGTATATAGTTAACTCGGAGAAGAAACGCACAGTGTACCACTTATCAAATCGCTATGATTGGAATGGCACCGGTTTAAACGACACTTTGGCCTGAAATTTTACTATGAACAATTCTTGCGGATCACTAATGTTCAGGTGTGTCTCTTATATCCTATTTTCAATCGATAATCCAGTAGTATCCTAGCAGGCAGGAGCTGTTTAGGTTACCTTATTAACCTTTTATTCTTTTTTCGTTAGCTTGGTCAATGCTTGTGCTATGCCTCACCATATATTTCATCACGCAGCCGCATTCAAGGTATCTTATTTATTATTGATCGATACCCATGTCTGAATCTGACGGTACTGGACGCGCGCCATCGCAGCGCGGCTACCGGGAGTGTTTCGAAGTTACGAAGTTGTGAATGTATCTTACTGAACACAAGGCGAACTTGGCGAACTTGTTATTGCTAATTATTCATCGTTCAGCTTAGTGGAACCTATCTCTCCGGAGCAGATCACGGTACCAGAAATTAGGCGTCGATTGACACGCAGTGTTCACTTCACGATTTGTTGGGCCGGACTGCAAGTGTTAGTGGCCGTGATGCACATAAGCATTATATGCCATACAGGAATGAATACGAATGAGACGGTGAGTCCTGAGTGTAAACAGGATTCGGTAATGCTAAATATTCCTTCTCAGACTCGTGGTATCGTGAACGCCGTGCTGCGAATCGTTCCAGACGCAAACGCGGACCTTGACCGATTTCAGGTAAATTTTGATGATAGGACGCCAACGTAGTTGGTAAATTCAATCGCCATACGCTAATAGTAGATAACGGTCAGATGCGTGGCGCACCCCATAAATCAGCAACCAGATTTTTTGCAGATTTCATGCTTTGTGCACAAAATGTCCACGCAATTCATGTGGGGAATGACTGTGTGGAGAGCGTTCCCGTTGGAACGAACCACCTTTTTCACGGTATGTCAATTAAGTAGATTTTATTGGCGAAGCATTGTCAAAAGACCGCTTTCAGCTCGTTTCTGTGGTTATTACGTATGCCTTCCTGCTTCTGAAACTCAAGGAGAATCCGGCAATGACGCCCATAACTCGGCAGTTTATCATTCATAATAATGGCTCAATGGAATTCAGTACTACTTTATCGCCTTAAACAGCCAGAAAGATTCCTGTGACATCAAAGCAAGGAATATTCAAAGGTAAGGCAACTGCTTTGGGTGCAGTTCTGCTTGACGGGGGCACCGAATGGTACTCAGCGAAACCTGAACAGACCACCCTGTGAAAATCTGCAAATTCCGCTCACCAATGTGGCTGCCTTGTCCCATTTCGCATCCTTACAAGAGATTACCGGTTTTATCGTAGAGTTAACATGAACTAGAAAAAAGAAATTAGCAAAAGTGTGAAATGCTCCTCCTGAGTCGAACAGCGCCGAATCTATTTGCCCACATCGTGTTGGCTGCTGGCCGCCACCAATATCTGCAAGTTGCTCCGTTTTGGATGACTAAATTTAAAAGGAACATTTTACTAACCACGAAGTTACCAGCGCGCGTTTACTCGTTGGTCTAATTCCGGGTAAGTTCTAGCCCAAACCAACCGAGCTTTCCATCACTCAAAGCCCCAAATTGATACCT